TCCCTTACCACCCGCGTACCCGCGTCCTCAGTTATGTCCGCGACACCTCCCTCACCACCCGTGTCCTCAGATATATTCGCGCATAAGCGACAGAATAGAGAGGGCGGCGTCAGTGACACCTCCATCATCACCCGCGTGTCCTCCGTGCATAGGGCGGCAGAATAGTGGTCCGCGACACCCGCGCGTCCTCAGTTATATCCGCGCATAGGGCGGCAGAATAGAGAGGGCAGCGTCCGCAACACCCCCCTCCCTCCCTCAGCACCCGCGCGTCCTCAGTTATATCCCCGCATAGGACGGCAGAATAGAGAGGGCAGCATCCGCGACACAAGGGCGGCAGAATAGAGATCCGCGACACCTCACTTCATTTTCATAACCGGTCACTTTCGTTTTCACATTGGGGTTGAGGGCGGAGTGATCGTCCTCTGCCTAGAGCGGCAGTTCAGCTTGCTCCGGCCCTGGATATAACCGGGCTCGGATCGTGTCGTTTTCTCACTAAAATCGATCCGCTCCAGAGTTCGTTCCATAGCGTTTGTTTTGGCACGGATCCGAGCATGATTGGTGGTTTTACATATGCCAAACTAATCGCGCTAACTGGGCAAACGAGACAGTTCCGAAACAAAAGTCTGGTGTTTAATGGTAATCTTTTACATTTCCATATAGTAATAATATTGGAAGTATTGGGGCAGTGGAATAGACATGTTTAAATTCTTTATGTGATTATGATCAAACGTGGGTTTTATCTATTGAGTATGATGTATTGTTCTTGCTAAAATAGCGATTTACTCTCAGTCGGTCTTTGCTGACTTTGTGATCTGGTGTGCGTACAGCAGACCTATGTCAGATCGAACAGAAGGAGAAAAATGGTTTGATGTGCCGTTTAAGTGATGGACGACATCAAGTTCCAGCATTATTTCTGTGATGAAACTGCAGTGTGAGATCTTGCGGAGTCGTGCATTTCGAAGCAGCCTGCGTCTCTCTTTGATATCTCGTGCCAGTCTGAACATTTGTCAGTGCCATCCACCTACAAACTCGGCTGGTGCTGGCAGGAACAGTAAAGTCAGTGGAACAAACACCGTCTGCGCTTTATTTTAGACTGCAAACGGCCGCTCCTTCACTCTTTGTCTGTGACATTATGAAAGCAGCAATTTGACGCTGTGAAGGAGAAATCAAGGTCCAGACAGAGTAATTGTAGAGAATGTATAATAGCCGCAGTCAGTAAACGTGGTAACCGTAGGTGCTTAAAGCGCTCCCATAAATCCTGAGTTACACTGTAGATTAGCTTCAGTGTTATTCATATGGTGAGCTGCTCTGTCAGACTTCATATGTGCTGCTGTGACATTTTCTGGCATGTTATATAAGCTGCAGCAAAATGTTTTTTCCCCCCACAGGACAAGCACAGATGTAATGTTTGAACTGTAACGCATAGTGGCTGTGGGTCTTTAAAGTTCACTTGAAATGCAAAATTCAGTGTTTATTTTGCCATCTCACATTGTTATTCTTGAGGTTGATAACTAATTCGTGGAAGTTAATGTACAGAAAATAAATGCTTGTTGTGGTAATCTTTAATAAAAGTCTGCTCATTTGCTTCCTTGTTTGGAGTGGCGATTCTTCTGTTGACAAAGCACAGATGTAATGCTTGAACTGTAACGCATAGTGGCTGTGGGTCTTTAAAGTCTGCTTGAAATCCAAATTTCAGGGTTTATTTTGCCAGCTCACATTGTTATTCTTGAGGTTGATGACTAATTCGTGGAAGTTAATGTACAGAAAATAAATGTTTGTTGTGGTAATTTTTAATGAAAGTCTGCTCATTTGCTTCCGTGTTTCGAGTGGCGATTCTTCTGTTGACTTTAGCCTGAGGTCTTCCATAGGAACTGTATATTAGCCTTTCTTGCCATTGAGTTTGCAATGAGGGAATTAGGGCTGCACGATATTGGAAAAATTGACATTGCGATATTTTATTTATCTGCGAAATATATTGCGATATACATTGCAAAAAATGCTTTTCTTACTTAGATTTTTTGTCTTTTTTCTAGTCCAAATATCTAAAACTTCTTATATAAAGAAGCATTTTCTAGGCAAGTGAAACATATTGACTTGTTTTCAGAAAAAATATGCTAATATTACGTTTTTCTTTAAAACAAGCTAAATAATCTGCCAATGGGTTAAGCAAAATAATCTTGTTTTTTCTTTTGACATAGGATTATTTTCCTTACCCCATTGGCAGATTATCGACAAAATCGATGTGCTAACTGTATTTTAGATCTTAAAATAGGCCTAAAATATATTTTCTGGTGTTTAATTTTGCATGAGCAAATAGCAGTATAGCTTAAATGACATATTTTTAAGAGATTATCATTCATACCTGCAGCACATGTGAGAGGTGGATCCTTGGCAAATCCACTTACTCACGCACTATACCTATTTCCTTTATAACACTGTAAACTTTGCAGGCCGATCATCTTTAAACTCAAAAGGAATTTTTAAGTGTCCTAACTTGACTGCTGCTGCACAATGGGATGTTTCTTTTCACAACTGTAAAAGTGCACTTTAGCCATGTCTAAATGAAAACAAACTTGCAAACTTGAAAAAAATTCAAAAGGGTTCTCCGTTTTGTCAATTTTTAAATTTTTAAAACCTTTTTTTTGTTGTCATTTTCCTTTTTTAAATAAGAATTTTTATTGGCAATATACATAACATTGTGTAGAATGTGAAATTACAAAGAATATCGGGACTTTTTTAAAAATTAGCAAAGACAAATAATAACAAAACAAAACAAACAAACAAACAAACAAAAAAATTGAAATACAACACACCCTGCCACCACCATCCATACAAGGTATAATTGTCACAAATTTTGTCAAAACATTTCTCATTTTGATGTTACGTAAAGAAAGTTGAAATGGTTGATGATAATAAAAACAGTAATGTCCAGAATGATGCACAAATAAATGACATTTACATATATGATAAAACATTATATTAGATTTCCGTTTTTGAAGTATACATTGTTTAGCTGCAGTGCTTGCAAGCAAAATAAAATAGCTGCTGTGGTAGGTCAACTGAAGTGAACTGATATCACCTAGTATCCAAATTTTAAGATCTGGATCAATTTGATTATTTGATATTCCAGAGGATGTTGCAATGACACACTTCCAGAATGTCTAAAAAACTGGACAGCTCCAGAGCATATGAAGAAATGTCCAAGTAGATATCTTACACCTTTGACACATGGCAGAGGTCTAAGTTTAGTCTATAGGGGGTGTAATATGTTCTATGCAAAATATTAAATAACATTTGTCTGTGTTTTGTGGTATTCCAATCACTTTCTGTGTGAGCACACTCCAAGTCTGATTCCCATTTTTGCTTTTTTAAGAATCTTTGGTGAACAGTGAGATTGTTATTTAGAATATTGTATTAGGAGAAAGTTAAATGTTTGGTCAATTTCCACTTAATTTCGATTATATTTATAATGATGAATATAATAAATTAAAGTATTAATCTTAGTGCAGACTACTGTGGGACTGTGCAGTGAACTAAACATTTTTATTAGGCTACAAATTTTCTAACTGAAAAAACGAATGTAATTACTGGCAGTTGTATCTCTGCTAAAATTAATGTAACAGCAAATTTCTTCTGTATTTTTTTTCTTTTAGGGCTCAAGAGAGTTGTATTTACAGAATGCAAATTATTTAGGAGGCGGCAATGCCCCCTTTTGTAACTTGTCACGATCGGTGGTTGGGGAAAAAGGGAGCGAGGACTCAAGTGCAGATAAATGGTAATTTATTATTAATAAAATAAACAGCAAAATAAACTACCCAGAGGGGGAAAACATTAACAAAACAAATAAACAAACAAACAAACTTGACTGCACAGGCTGGTAGGGATCAGGGCTGGAAACACACAACAAGACAAGGAGAGAAACGATGACATACTGTGACGAATGATGACAAACTGGCACAGAACAGCAGACATGAGGGGATTATAAGCAGACGTAAATTAACACAAACAGATGAACATAATTAACTAATAATGGGGTAACAAGGAGGGTGGGACTTCACAATAGATGGCAGAGCGCATGACACAGAGACAACAAAGCCATGCGCTCATATAAAACAGGATAAGAACATGTAGCCAATGAGAGAACTCATTAACCGCATGTTCATGACAACACAAGCACAACACTGAAGCACACAAAAGCACGTGACCACAATGTAAACACAGAGCCACGTGCTTTGACAACAGATGCAAGACACGAGCACACGATAGATAAACACCTTACCGTGCGCTCACACGTATGCAATGCGCATGTTTCATCTCAGCGTCAACCAAAACCGAAACCAACTAGACGAAGATGCTGAGAATGAAACAGTGCGATGGCGACAGGACAAAACACAAACACGAGTTCGAGGCACGCAGAGCCCGCATGGCTGCATCAAGCGGGAGCGCGCACACCCACAATGGCGCGCACACACAGAGACACACACAATGACAGAAACAGGACAAGACAGGGCTAGTGTCCGGACTCTGCCACCAAAACAAGAAATCACAAGACCAGAGTGGCAGAACCCTGACACTTGTGCGCTTAGTTCTGTTCAATTCATAGAATTGACAAAAAGAGATGATGGTGCACCAAAAATCTTTCTGCTTTCAGGAGCTTGATATAAAAAATGTCTTTTCGTTAGTGGCAACGGTAGCCTTTATTGGATTAATCAATCCCTGAGCAGATTAATAATAACTGACCTTACATCTATCTCAGTGAGTATGGTTCCCTGCGTTTAATGTCAGGCTCTATTCAGTCTGTACGTTTGATGAGAAAGCAGTATTGATTGATTTACAGCCATTGTAGGAATGCATTCTGGGAAGCATGAATTCATTAGAGGTCTCCTCCTCTGCTTCTGTCAGTGACGTAAGGTTGCGTCGAGCCCACAGGGTTAAATCAGGGTGATGCAGTGCCATTCTGTCCCATTAACAGCCCAATAAATGTTTCTCATGCCCTACAGAATATTGGGAAGAAGATGACGTGCCAGGAATTCATCAATAACCTGGACGGTCTCAACGGTGGACAAGATTTCCCACGGGAGCTGCTGAAGGTAAGCCTCAAACAAATCTCCCTATGTTCTTCCATGAGATCATTTGTGAAAGGATGCGTTGCGTTAAAAGCCATTTTGATGATACAAATAACGCAAAATGGAAATCAGCGGCTCCAGGTTGGTGAAGCCTGGCGATATTCTATAACACGCAATGGCATCTACTTTCTCTTGTTCTCATAAGAACATCTGATCTTTACTAATCAATTACCATCAACCTGATGTTTGTACACCTGATACAAGCCCAGGACAAAAGCGCTCTTGACTTGGATTCATTAGTAATAGATGCTGTTATAGGAGACATATATGAACAATTAGAGAGCCTGGAATCATGGAGCAAGAGTCTCTTCAACTGTTGCTCCAACATTACATTAGTCCAAAGAGAAAACTAAAGTAAAAATGCAACATTATATGGGCTCTATTTTAAGAGTCTAGGTGCAAAGTCTAGCGAGCGTGTCCAAGTCCACTTTTGCTATTATAAGGATGGAAAAATATGCTTTGCACCCTGGCACATGGTCTAACAGGGTTGTGCTTATTGTCTTAATGAGTTATGGGTGTGTTTTGAGCATAACGGGCTTTAAACCGAGTCTCATCTCCCATTTCCTTTAAGAGTTGGTTGTGTCACGACCTGGCAGATTTGCTATTTACATGGTGGATTTTGTAAGTGGAAAAACTGAATGCTTCACTAGTGAAACAGTTTTACAGTAGGTAAACAGACCATCTGCAGCGCGAGGATAAAGAACGAGCCTCCTCCATTCGGTCTCTTTAATTCCTCCTTTCTTTACTCCTTACTTTACTCCTTTACTTTGGTGGAGTAAGGAAACGGTTGAAACTCGCAACAGAAGACATCCATTAGCCTACATGTTTAACCTCTTAAGACCCAAGGTGTTTTTACATGCATTTTGTAATTTCTTTTTGCTATTTGGGCTTATTTGAACTTAATAAAAATACAAACCTAAGTATCATCTTTTGATATGATGTACTTTTAGAGAAAAATGATGTCCATATATGTGGACTCGTGGTCCGAATTTGCATAAACACTTTTTCCTGACAGTTTTAATGCAAATATAACACATACATATTTTTTGAACATGGTTTGACTATTAGAAAGTAAAAAAAAATGTTTTGCCAATTTGGACAGTTAAAATAATGTTTGGGACATTTCATATGCTGCAAAACAGTTGCAGGATGACACTGTATATCTGTAGCAAAATATAAAACATTCAAAATATTTTAAATAGCCACTTAAGAGCTAAAATGTGCTGTCCCAATTTGTGGCCACTAAGCCCTAGGATTTTAATTTCATTTGTTAAGCACAAGGATTTGTTTCAAAAGTAATTCGAAATTCAATTTTAATTTCCAGTAAACAAATAAATGAACAATAATAAAGAAGTGTGGTAAAACGATTATATATATTCAAACACACGCCCTATTCTTATGCCCCATATGGTGATGCATATGTCTCCAAAACCCGACATGTGGACAAATCTAAGTTTGTTTTTATTAAAAAAAATATAAATATGCAATAATTTTTGTTGATCAATGGAGCAGTCTATTTCAGTTCCTACAAAAATAGCAACGCACCAATAATGCACCTTAATACACCTCCTTTTTTACACCTGCACCCATGAGTCCACAAAGTCGTGCAAATGGATTTGCTATTTAAACAACGTGTCATAAAATGTGAAAATTAGGGTTTATTTAGGTTTTTTTTTATCAGGGTAATTAAAAAAGTATTTTATGTATCGTCAATTTAGTGGCTAATTCGTATGAGTTGAGTCATGCGAAAATGTAAGTTTTTAAAAAAGGCGTGGCTCCCAACCCCGCCCTTAAACCCTACCATCATTGGGTGATGAACAAATTGTACTAAATTGTACAAATTAGATTATACAAATTCATACGAATTATCCACTAAATCAAAAAGTTACGAATTGCTGTGAGATTGCTTTGGTATTGCTTTTATTTGTGAAGCGAGATTATTTTATAAAAATGATAGATGTAAACCTATTGTAAACCTCCAAAATAAATTTAGGAACAGTTAAAAGTATTTAGATAGCGGTCAATTGGCAGGTGCCAGTGTAAAGGACATTGCATTAAATATGTATAAATCTTTTTAGTTCAAGCATTCACTGCAAATTAAGTCTCTGAATTTGCTTTTGCTAGTCCCAGTCTAGTGTTTGATCTACAGATGCAGAAAAACATCAGAAAAGAATGTCAACTGTTGACAACTATGTTATATAAAAGCAATTATAGGTTTCTTGAACCAAAAAATATTAAATGCTCTAATTTTATTTTATTTTATTTCGTAGGTTCATCTTTTAAATTGGTCGCATAAATTGTGCTAAAATTATATCAAAACACACTGTAGTGCAGCATAATTGAAACGAGAATTAGTTAAAATGTCGCACATGTACTTTCTAGGGCCATTTAGGGATTACTGTACATTACTTAATGTCCTCAGGAATTCTAAATGTATATTGTAAGCTCATATCAAGGTGAGCAATTAATCGGTGCAAGTTAATCCACTGAAAAAAAAAAACAGTTTGTCTGTAATCTGTAATTAAAATCTGAAAATGTGCTTCCACTCTGGAATGACTTTTCTTTCTCTGATGATGTCAGTCTGACGGCTCGGCTGGAATATCCTTGACTGCTTTCCAACTGTTAGTTTGCCTCAAGTGAGAAATCTTCTAAAATGAAATGCAGTCCTGTATTCAACATTAATTTTAGCTGGCAATATGTTGCAATACTGAAGTGGCATAAGTAGAATCTTCCGGTAAAAAGGGAATTTAGATAATTACTTCTCTAAAAATTAAAACATGCTGCTAAACTGTTTGGTCACCAAGTAAATTAGTAAACCAAGTAAAAATGTTTGGGGTAAAGTATACACTACCTGACAAAAGTCTTGTTGCCTTTCCAAGTTCTAGGAACAACAAATAATAACTTGACTTCTAGTTGATCAATTGTGGCTTACATAAAAGGCAAATGCCTCTAGATTATGCTTATTTTATCTAAATAAAATATGATCATGCCTTGATTTAATGATTTAGTTAGGACAGTAAGGTCTGACTTTTTTTTTTTAGACAAAAGTCTTGTCATGTAACAGAAATAATGTACTGTATAGAATATAAAGTCATGGTGCAGTGGAGAAAGAGTTAATATTGTGGATGACTCCCATGAGCTTGGAGGACTGCATTTATACATCTCTGCAATGACTCAAACCACTTATTAATAGTCATCTGGAATGACAAAGAGAGCGTTCTTGCAGGACTTCCAGAGTTCATCAAGATTGTTTAGATTCATCTTCAATGTCTCTTCCTTCATCTTGCCCCAGACGTGCTCAATAATGTTCATGTCTGGTGACTGGGCTGGCCAATGCTGGAGCACCTTGACCTTTTTTGCTTTCAGGAAGTTTGATGTGGAGCGCTATCCTGCTGAAGAATTTGCCTTCTCCTTTGATTTGTAATGTAATAGGCAGCACTAATATCCTGATGCCATTCACATCTCTCGCACTCCCACATACTAAATGTAATCCCAAACCATGATTTTTCCTTCACCAAACTTTGATTTCTGTGAGAGTCTTGGGTCCATGCAGGTTCCAATAGGTCTTCTGCGGTATTTGTGATAATTGGGATGCAACTCAACAGATTATTCTTTGGTAAAAAATCTACCATTTGACACTTTTCCAAATGATCAACTAGAAGTTAAGTTATTATTTATTGCTTTTACAACTGGGATTGACGACAAGACTTTTGTCAGGTAGTGTAGGATTGGCGATACCACATTATTGAATGTGATAAGACACTGATATTTTGGTTCCACTTTATAAAAGGGTCTTAACTGCTATCTACTTTCAAATAAACACAATGTGTTGACTTTGTTTATAATGTATTACAGAACCCTTCTGGTGCTCTTGAGGTGGGATACGAGTAGGATTAGGGACAGGTTTGGTGGTATGGGTAGGTTTAAAGCTACGGTCACACTAGAGTTTGTGCGTGAGAAATTCTCTAGTACTGTCTAAAAGGGTCGGAATTAAACGAGATGATCAGACATTAAAAAAAGCGAGTGATTGGTCCATGTTTTAAATTTCTGTCCAGAAAGGTTATGTTTTGATCCTCGATTGGACTCACGCAGGCAAGTGATGTGATTTCGCTGGTCAAAATTCACCAAGCTTGAACTTTGCACTGCAGCGACCTGCGAAACTAGACACATTAAGGCTGATTTATATTTCTGCGTCAAACGCTCGTGTATGCTACGGCGTTGACGCATAGCCCTTCGCCGTGGCTGTCGGCGTCACTGACGTGCACCGCTTAAAAAATGTAACTACACGTAACAATGACGCGTAGCCCAAGCTCTGTAATTGGTCGACTTGGTAGCGCTGACGAGTCTGGGCGGGACCGAGAGCCGCGCGAATGGCGCGAGCAGGGCGCTAGCCCAATGGAGCGATTGTTTACAAGTGTGGAGTCCCGTGAAGGAGCTCTGGATGGAAAGTGTTGTTTTGTGTTTACCTCATGGTTAAAGTTGTTGCACGTCCGCCGATGAGCGAGTTTGAGCCACTTGTACATCCAGGAAGTGTTCAGGAAAAGCAAAACAGCAGCAAAGAAACTTGACACAGAGGAACATTAACACCTCACTGCCAACTAGCGTTTTGGAAGTGTAATGCAGACCAACAGAGACAGCGCGCAGAAGTATAAATGCTCAGCTATGCGCGTTGCATGCGCCGATGGTTACACCGGTCACTTGACGCAGAAGTATAAACCAGGCTGCGTGAAACTTGACACATGACCCTGTGTATGAATGGAAGTCTATGGGGGGAAAAGTCCAGTGTGACCACAGCTTAAGGGTGGGTTATTGTGTGTTGACATCACATTCTATTAATCCTAATAGAATATACAATAGCAACAACATAATCTGTGGACGCATTCACTGGTTTCTCCATTTAAAAGGCCCATTTGTTCTTCATCATTCAACTTTCAGTATTTAGCAATCTGAAGATCACTGGTTCC